AATCACCAGTATAGATGCTCTTTAGGTGCCCCTCATCATGATGGGGTAGCCCACTGTGACATCATCAAACTGGGACAGGAATTCAGTCTCATCCAACCAGAACTCGCCCTCGGCCACCCTGGCTTGTAGATCCAAAGCAGAAACAGGATCGACAGAGCTCCAACCAGCTCCACTGCAGAAAAAGAGGTAGATTGAGTGAATCCCCAGCCAGCACTAACTAAAACATGTCCACACACTCTGGTAAAGTCTGCAAGGTGCTTTAGTGCTCTACAGACTTCCAGAGAGACCACATAAAATTACACTGTCACGGTACTGGTCATATCCATGGCAACTACTGAGGTCTGAAGACCTGTCTCATAAAACTTTTATTCCACTGAGGCACAGCAGCCTTTCAGGCTTGATATGATTATGGTTAGCACTTCAGTCCAGAAGTCAGCAGGGTGGACATTTGGATTCCGCAAAACTCCTTTTTGCGGTCACTCACATCTCTAATGGAGACTCACATAAGGTGACATGCATGCCTACTTTCCTATCCAGGCCCCTCCCCAGCAGCATCTTCCCCAGGGGTTTCGGATCCTGAGCAGCAGTACTTCACTCCCTGACACCGTCTTCACATTCAACCACTCCATGACAGTCATGGCATGGTACTGACCCAGTTCGCTGGCACCTACAACAGGCAGGTCATCAGATGTGATACAGGATCAAAACCATTTGCATCGGCAAGAATGCTTTTTTCCCCCTTTTTTTTTACCTCCGGGGCTGCTGTGAGTGGAGCAGCTTATCGCACACTGGTCTTTCACTGGATACAGAAGGTTCAGGTCCAGCTTTCGCCTCCTGACCTGGTCGCTATCCTGTTCTTGTCTCTGCTCCTCCTCTGACCCACCGTCTTCCAAGTTCCAGCGCTCCGCCAGGCCCCCGGTCAAATCCACCAAGGCCTCGGCCACCTGCCCTGCCCATAGTCGCTCATATGAGCCATGTAGCCTAGAAGAGGATACAAGGAACAAGAAATTGGATTTCCAAACTTCACTAAAAATGTTGTTTGGAATGCATTACAAGATAAGCAAAAAATTCAAAAAGCACCACCAGGAAAATCTAATCTATATCAAAGTTCAAAGGTTAAACAGTGAGACCAGACAGGGAATTTCCACAGGTTACTTACTTAGCATAGGCCTTCTCCAACAGGGCCACCCAAAAGGCAGTGGGGGAGTGGCAGCGTGAGAAGCAGAGAGTGGAATTGATACAGGGCAGACGGTCATCGATGGTGACCTCTGTCCAGTGTCCCTGCTGCCAGAAACAAAACTGGAAGGAGCCCCTGTACCTGCTGTCACCCCACTGGGCTGGTCTGGAGGCAGCACCTACAGAGAGTCATGGACTAAGTCAGTGCAGCGGTGCCGGACATGCAGTAGATATTGACAGGAACTTAGTCTAACCACCGGCCCATAATTCAGTTGTCCAGAGTGTGTTCAAAACCAGAGCTGCTACATTACCTTGTTGAGTAGATGTTTGTTCTTTAGCAAGACGGTGCAGGCACAGAGAAACCAGCAGTCTCCTAATAAGCCTTGCTTTGCGTGACCCAGGTTGATGTTGTCAGGGAAGAAAGCTGGCGACTGGCAGATCTCCTGGAGTTGTAAAATATACATTAAGGAGGATTGAGACATTAAAGACGACTCACAATAACACTGGGATTTGAGTTTTGGGGTGCAAAAGAAATAAGGTGCAGAAATGTCTTATTCTAACATGGTGGTCACTATATTGTTTATCACACTATAATTTTGTCGGCTTGTAAGATGATAGACATAGAAATAAAATAAAAACATACAAAAAATATTATATTGGTCTTTTATTACATATATTTGCTTTTTGTAAAATACAGAACAATAACTTTGGACCTGTAGGCACTTTCGTTATCAGATCAACCACCTGATAGGGGAAATTCTTCAACAGGTCAACCAGTGAGAGGTGATGCCAAAAATTCACGAGCTTATCAACAGCATTTATAAACTTTACCTCATGACAAAACAAATGTACAAGGAAGTCACCGGGGCATTTCCCATTTACCCTTGACAGAAAGCCTGACCTGTGGGCGTCGCCAAGTGACGTCTCCCTTCAGCCTGCCGATGGGCGTGGAGCTGTCAGACAACAGGGACGTGTCGTCAGAGGGGAAGTCCGGGTCCTCAAACAGAGCCTGGCCTCCACCCTCTGCCCTGTACTCTTCTTTCATGGCTTCTGTTTCTTTTCAGCCTGGATTGTACCTGCGGGGTCAGTGCGTGAACCTCAGCCAGCTGTGACCATCCTCACTGCCTCCATTTCACACTTGTACTACACCTAAAAACCAAACCAAAGTTACATTTAAATAGTCATACAGTCACAGGTAACAACAGAAAGCTGCACCTTGCTGTAGCTGTAGGGAGGTGAATGTTTAACCCTGTTTATCTGTGACTACATAGTGTTTTCTCTCTTTTTTCTCATTTGTTTTGTGAATACTGAGGTAAGTGTGTTATTTGTATGTAACAAATCAAATAAAGTTCATTTTATGCGTATAGCCCAATACCACAAATCCCAAATCGCCTCAAGGGGCTTTAGATTAAACAATACAAATGTACTTTCCCTCATGAGTCCACAAATATCAGTAGAATATATTGTCACAATGGGTATACATGTTAACACTATTGTAGGTATGTAAAAAATTGTGTTTTCTGGAAAACATAACTGGTGGTTATTCGCCTTTAGTGAAAAGCCCCATTCATATATTACTGTTAACACAGCCGTAATAACAGAGATATACAAAGGAAACGCTGATTGGATGTCTCCAAACTAAAATGTAATATTAGAAACATTAGCAAGTAATGTTGTGGCTCTTCTACGTTCCTGTATCTTACCTTCCTCTTATAAGCATCGTTCCCCTCGTAGCTTTTATGCTTCATAACAACACAACAGCTAACCGTTAGCTTCAGCTAGCTTGTAATGCACAGTTAGATGGAGGTTAGCATCTCCGTGTCGCTTCATCTTACCATGTTTTCAGAACTACCCCCAATCACAATATGTCTTTTTTTTATCCAAAAGGATTAAAGATTTCGTTATGGCTAACAGTCACACCCCAAACCAGACATGACATCTTGTGAGTATGAAAACACGGCAAGTCTCTTCCGCTTGGACATCTAGCAGCTCATTCATGGAGTGAATCCTTCCTGTGCTGCTGAACACTCCCGCTACCTACTGTTCGTACCGTGAACTACACACCATGCTCACACATGTTAGTGACCAGCTAAAAGTAGCGCACTCTAATTTATGGTAATTTTAGAGAATGCAGTTTGTGGTGTTGTGTGAATTGTATTGCATGATGATACTAAGTCATTTTGTCACATGAGGGTTGAGTCTAAATGTTCAAAATACAGTAAAACAGTTTCAACAAAAACTGAAACCTTCATGAAGGTGGAATTTATTGCAGGACTGCAGTAGTACTGCATTTTGTTTTAGCTAGGTGGACAGGTGTCGTGCCAAGGTAGTTATCCCCGACAGAAACTTCGACTTCATGAAAGTGAATGAAAAATATACCATGTGGATTGTTTAATCTATCGTTTTAGAATTGTTTTATTAACGAGGTTTGTGTAGAGCAAGCTAGCACTTCTAAACGTTTGCACTCAATTGAGAATGTCTACACAAGACGAGCATTTAGTTTCACTCGTAAAGCAAACATTTATTTCGTGATAACGTTAGTCTGGCGATGTTATATAACTGACCATGTAGTCGATCACTTTGTCATCCATGTTACTGTTTAGAAGCTAGATTCAGACAGACTGTCACCTTTTTAAAGTAAGCTGCCTACAGACGCCATCGATATAGATGTTACAGTGTGAATTTTACGTTTTCTCTGCAGAGATACGCTTTAATGCGCCGTTAACGGAAAGTAGGTGCCGGTGTCAGCTTGTCAAAGAGCGACGCAGGCTGCTTTCCAACACGACCACCAGTGCCATGGTGTGGCTCATTGGATTTCAGTTGTTTCAGTAGAACAATAAAGCCTTAAACTGAAAAGGTATTTGCCTGATTTTATAAATGTTTACATCTGCCCAGCTCATTCATATCTGTGATAACTGCTTGGTCTCTGTACCACAAAGGAGACCTGGCGTTCTTCTGCATAACTGCGCGCACACAGCCTGGCTGACAGCTCATTCGGTTAACAAAGCCTATTGCCGATTACAGACTGGTGAAGTTATGAAGGTATGAATGGAAAATGTAGCGAAAGTAAAAGTAGATTACTGGCCCAAAGAAAATACTGGAGTAAATAGTAAAAGTAGGCTACAGTTTTAAAAAAAGATCGTGAAAAGGTGCCAATTACTTTTTTATTTATTTATTTTGCAGTCACTACCCACCCTGCAGCAGGCGTCCCCACTGCTGTCTTCAGGTACAAAAAGAACAGCACAAAAGAAACGTAATATTATACTTTGCTGCACCTGCCTCGAGCGAACTCTTTTTTTTTCTCCCTTAACTTTTCAGCATTTGCGTTGTGTCGCATGTTTTTATAGGCCTACATGATTTTTGTCCGCGTTTCAACTGTTTAATCGTGTCTGATGCGGAGTGTGTGATTGATTGATTAACTAGTCACTCAAACCGCCTGGCTATGAGCCGAAAAAAGTGAGGGGGACTAAACATTGATTTCGAAATGTGGAGGGGACATGTCCCCCTTATGTATAATGGCTCCCACGCGTATGGGCAACTGAGAGTGCATTTAGTCAAATAGTGTTCATACTAGTATTCATAAGACTAATTTTACTTCCCCACTTTCCTTCCTTTATTAAGTTTTCCCTGTATCTATTAGTCCCTGCTTAATTTCTTCTGTTTTTCCTTCTTCTCTTTCCTCCTGTCTTCCTTTCCTTCTACAGATGATTGAAAAGCATTAAAATCTCCAAATTGGAAACACAAGGATCCTTGAGTACACTTTACTGGTAATACTTGTTTACTTCAGCAAACTTTTGAAGCTTGGCTGTACAGAAATTGTAATAAAATAATTCCTATAAAAGCTCCAGATCCAGTTAGTTATACAGATAAACACAGAAACAGCAACTTATTAATAAAAAAATTATTTATTGGCATTAAATTAATATATTTGAAGAAATACATTGAAAGTAATACAAAAATAGAGGATTCATTTATTTTAATATATTAAATTCATCTCGTGTGTCTTTAAGTTTCCTCAGGTGATCTGCTGCTCAAAGTTTTCTATTTAGAAAGAGAACAAAGAAAATATTAAATTGATTCAAATACGATTGTTGCATTGTGACTCAATATTGATGCCTGTTCTGTGTTTAGCAAAGAGAAATTAACTTACTGTGGTACAGAGTTCATGGCTTTTTGCACCCACTTTGTGTCAGGATTGGCACAGAGAAGTCTATTTCTCACTGTCTTGAAACTGTATTAAGACAAAGGAAGACGTTAAAACAATACTACAACAGCAGAGCTGACATTTCTCTTCTTTTTTTCCCAGATCCATTGATTTGTATTTTCTTACATTACGGCCTTGATGTTGCAGGCTTCTGTGACCTCCTGGATTCTGTAGTATTTCAGCACTTTCACTGGGATTGGATGGTCTTGGTACTGTGTGCAGCAAAGCCTCATGGGACCTTTAAACAGGAGACATTACAAACATGTCAATAAAAATCAAGAGGCCAAGTTACATATTCAAGGAGACACTTTAATGTGAAAACAGTTCTGTAATTAAAGAAATACAGACAACAACTTGCGTGTTCTCCTAAACCAAATATTTGAGAGATGCTGTACAGTAAATATCTGCTGAAGCCATACTTACTGCTTTCACCCAGCGCCACCAGCAGCACCAGTATTACGGAGACACACACAGTAAGCTTTGCCATCCTCACACAGCTTCTCCTCAGCAGTAAATCAGTTTTCTGATCTGGACTCTCAAAAGGGATGAATTGATAAAGTTTATCTGGCTGTGAAGTTTAAATACTCTGGTTAATCTCCCACACAGACCAACAAACTAGCTGGAAATACCAACGTTGCATATTTGGGTCAGGCGGGAAGTGTGACATACGGAGTACTTTTACCCACAATTGTTGTACAAAATCCCCTCCCGGGTTGGTACAGGGGAATCAAGACACACGCATGTGCCACTTACCTTTAAAAAAGATCCTGGAATGAGGTCATGCTGACGAAGAATACTATCAAACAGCAATTGTCCATTCCTTGAATGTAAACACTGTTAAACACAATGAATACTTTTCAAATACTATTAGTATTATTTATTCAACTTAATTTAATAAGCAGTGATGAAATGTACATTCACTCCAATACTGAACTTCCGTACACAATTGAGGTATTTGTACTTTACTTGACCACTTCAAATTTATGCTATTTAATCCTTCCACATTTCAGAGGGAAATATTGTATTGTTTTTTTAATCCACTTCATTTCTTTGAGCGATATAGCTTCTAGTTACTTCACACAAAACATCTGATCGGTTTATAAAATATGATGTATTTTAATAAATTAAACTACCTAACTGTATATAAATTGTTGAAAATTTGCAACACCTACACCAGCCATAACATTTGTAGAAAACTGGATTCAGGTGTGGCACTATTCCACCAACTACTAGACACACCCGTGCTTTACAACATTAAAATGCTGCTTTCACACTAACTAATCCGGCATGATAATATAATAATATAACACACAGTAATATAACACTGACAGGAGCTGTTTACCTGCATAATGAGCAATTTAATCTTTGATAACTATGCTGATAACACTTTTTAAAATAGTTTTGCTTTTATAACATTTTGCAGTTCTTTGACTTTTCGTATAGTATTTTTATGTTGTGGTATTGCTGCTTTTATTTAAGTACAATTTCTGAATACTTCTTACACCACTGTTAATAAGGTAGTCTCATTGTGAATGCATCTATTTTTCAAGAGAGACCTGAGAACAAGAAACAATACAATAGCGAGACAGCATCCCCGAACCATCCTTCACAACATAACATCCTGCTGACCTTGTTGTTGCATACATACAACATTATGAGACAATGTAGAAAAGACACTTTGTTTGTTAAGATGACCACATGCTGTTTGTCACTGTATAATTATACTGATTTTATAATTTGCCAATCGTTGCCACCAAGCAAAAATAGTGATAAATGAGAGTCAATTCAAACACGTTATAAGCACAAAACCTACAAAATAAATATTTTATTTTTTTTAATTTTATTATAATTATTTACTTTTCATTACAATGCAACACATTTCTTAAGGACCTCATTTTAAACCGTCACTGAGACAAAGACAAAGTCCTTGTTTCAGTCGTA